AGTGAAGTGTAGTCGCGCATATCACAAAATATGAGTGACTCTGAGGACCAATTTACTTTATGGTTTCTAACAGAAGAGTTCACTTCTGTACGCGTTTACCATAATTTCCTCGCTTTCGTTTTGCATTATCAATTCTTTGAATGTTTCACGCAGGTAACGTGGTTCATCTTCGTTTTTCCACCACAACGTCGGATGTTGAAGTTCGTTCGCGCAAAAATGGTTCATCTTGAGCATGTCCGTTCGTTTCGGCGCGCAGCGTTTTGACTCGTTTGTGTACTTCGGTTCTCGTTCTTTCTCCGAGATGTTTTGCAAACTTTTGACAAACAATCTTTTCATGTTTATCTCCGTCGTTTTGCAATTCATGTCTGCCTCCAGTCGATTGTAATTGTGTGTAAGTATTTTCTTTCCATTACGCATTTGATTCAGATCACCTTGCAGTAACTTTTCTCGAAAGAGAAATACGTTTTCCAATTGTGACTGAAAAAATTATCACCATTGCAGGATAATATTAATTTACTAATTTCATTAAATTTTCAGCTGTTCACAAAGAGAATACGATAGCATTTTCGTACAATATTTAAACTATATTAATTTAGTAATTTAATGAAATAATCTTTCTTACGTTATACGAGCATATGATTGAAAATCTAAAACATACTTTTTTTAAAAGTTTTCATAACGTAAAAATTGCATCACTTACTTTTTCATCTTTTAGTACGCATAATTCGTTTTGGAGATTTCTCTTAGCATTCTCAGTATTTACTAGTGCACGACAGAGTTCATTGTTCTCAGCTAGCAATGTGTCATACGGAGTGGAAAATTGGTTAATCTTCTTCGTTTGCGAGCCATTGATCCTTGAATATTCGTCGTTAATTCTCTTGTAGCAGTTTTCTTTTTCGTTTTTCCACTCTAAAAGTGCGTAGTCTGTTTGGTATTCTGAATTACTTAACGTATCACTACATAGAAGTTCAAATTTTAACTGTTTCAAGTATTGATTACCATAAAATATAAGTTGTTTGGTATTGTTTTTCATCTCTTCGGAGAAAATCTATTGAAAAAAATGCGAGTATAAGTGTTGAGAAATTTAATTTTTGGATCCGATCCGAAATGATAATAACACTTACGTTGTTAGTTGGATTCATTTCACCGGTGATGTAAATTTTTATTTAAAAGATCAGATAAGAAATAATTTGTTTTAAAATTAAAAACTTAGTTGAGAAATGATTTTGAATAAGCTGAATATTTATAGTTCTTTACAAATTAATTACAAATTATCAATAGCCAATATTATATTATATCACATTCCCTTGCAAGTTTAAACATAAATATATCTTATTTCTTTTGTACATCTGATAGACCAAGTAGCCGATTAACTATATGATGACAGTTAATTTTTTTACTAAAATGAGTTTATATTATAGTTAGGGTTAATGATACATTCTCCAGTTATATAAAAAATTTTTTTGATGTTTTTCGAAACATATTAATACTGTCAGCGTTTCTCATAGTTGTAATATACTTATATTATTGTTTTTTGAATAATTGTTGGTACCGTCTCGTAAATAAGTGTCGAACGGTGTCGTGATGTTTCCGATAATTGTTCACGTTGTGGTTAGTTCATCGAGAACCATATTTCAATCGGCCAGCACTGTCCTATACACGTTGTATGCATGCGTATATGTAATTAAGGGATCGATTTTCGATGGCTGCAAAAAGGTTCAGAGTATATATATTATTATCTTGCGATTTCTCGGATCCTTAATACGAATCATTTGTTAGAGTCATGCGAATTAGTTAGAAATTTTGATTTGGGTCAATATGATAACAGTGATTATGCGCTGCATATCGAAATCTTTCGACGTAATGAAAACCAATACATTTTTGTCATTTTCTGCACATTTCTGCTGTATAATTGACATGTATGACTCTGCAGTTTTGCCCTAATTAGGGTGTTTATAAAAAAAAAAAAAAAAAATTATATAAAACAAATCAATATTGACATTCGGCAAACGGGGCATAACAGTTACTATTATGATAGTCAATATTACTCATATTTGTATGCGCTCGCTTGTTTCACATCGTTTACAATTCAGTCTATATTGGACGATGCCACGATGATAAGGATGTATCCTTCAGATTAAAACATATTTGGCCTATGATTTATATATCTATCGATCGTTGCACATACATTGTACGTGGCAGGTGAACGCACAGGGATTATTTGTTTTGTATAATTCGAATTTTACAAAAGTTTACTAATTTTTATGAATGTATTTCATAAACAAGAAATTTGGAAAATGGCATTAAACATACGAGTGAGTTATATTATGAAGTACTTTATCTGGAAATTTTCAGACTGTTTTGGCTGTTATCAAATCGTGTCCAGGTAATTTATCTAATGGAAATTTTCATGTGAGTGTTTTTTTTCCGTATTGGGTGAATATTTTTGGGCAGAGGAGTCATAGGGAGTAGGTTATCTAGAAAATAATTTATTTATAATTTCTAAAGGAGGAATTGTGAAATCATTTAGATAGATTTAGATTGAAAACTTCAAAGAGTGTTTGTCGGTGCTTTTCAGATTTTTCATTATCGTTTATTACAAAACTGCCGTCCAACATTTTAATTGAAAAATATATTGCTTTAATTTTTAGTATTTGTTTAGTGGTTTTCTTCAGTGAACCATATTTTTCGGAAAAGAGACTTGTTTATTTGATGAAGTTATCAGAACATTGCTTTGTAAATTGTCTTTTGAGGAGTGTGCTAAGTTATTAAAATTAGTTTTATCCATGGGATATTTTGTATTACAATTATATGAACAATTATGGCGTACTGCCAAAAAATCGAATACACAATAAATAGTATACTAATCAAAAACCCTCAGACTCATAACTTAAGCTTCTTCTTATATTTCTAACCTAACCCTTCACATATATCTCAACATTTCTAAAGTCATTGAAACAATTAAATTATATTACTCTAAATTCAGAAATCTACTTCAAAATCACAACAACCCTTATGTTAAAAAACTACTATTTCTCTTAATTTTTTTTTTTTTTTTTTTATTATTATGTATACATTGTATAATTTTCCAAACGAAGAATATAAAAAATTCATCAATATTTTTTTCACCTACCTACCAGACGATTCGTTCAACTCATTGTAGTTACACTATCGTTAAGATGTCGTCCGATGACGACATTTTTTTTATATAATGATTAAATCAAAGAAAATTTATTATTATATTGCACTATATCGTCTGTATTGATTGAAACACCACATAAAATTTATGCAAATAAAATTTTTTATCAAAAATCATATTGTATGAAGTTCATTGAAATTTCTACCTTATCTTAGAGAGTCTATTCCAATCTTATAAATTATAGTTCAATATAATGTTCCAAAATACACTATTAATGATCATTATTTCGATATTTTTTGTTATGAATTGCATTTGAGTCGATTGTAATATGACGAAACAATAACATGTGAAACGAGACTTATTACTCCATAAGAATTGTAAACAAAATAAATTTTAGGTAACATTTTGGAAATACCATCATAATATGAATCGATCCATTCAAAAACACGTGTTTGTAACAAATACTCGTAAGTCAAATTTCGTGCGTCATGAAACAAATTTTCTCTGCGTTTCAACTGCCTAACATTTATTGTTATTATTTGTTATTATTTTTATTTAGAAGTTCAGATCCACATGTTCCTGATAGGCATAACATAATAAATACACTATTCTACTGAAACACTTCTGTAATTTGAATATTAGCATAATAATAATATTATAATAAATAAAATTTTACATAATACAAGTACATTTGACTGTAATACAGGTATACCTATAGTATCGATTCATTTCGGGTTTGAAAACCAATAGGTGCATTATTGAACGCGTAAATATGAAGACATATTAATATTATTATACGTGAATATATTATAAGAATAAAATTGGACCATTTCGTTTTAGTAAAGAGATGATAAAGATAATTATAATAATTTATTCTAATGATAATAATAATAAAATAATTACATAGTAAATTTTATAATATAATGTCGATTGGTTTTTCACACGTATCAATGTACTATAACATGCATAATGTGCTTAACGCGGTGTTGTATTGTGTACTACCCAAGAAAAAAACAACAAGCATTTTGGTATCAAAAGGATTCGCTAATTTTTGATATCGTGTCCGTTGATTCGTCTACGGTCGGGTAGATGAATATGACGACAGAGGCAGATTATATTTTATTACAATGATATTATAATACAAAACATGTTCACTAGGATGAAAAAACAATCCACACGACGACTATATTCCTGAACAATACTACATAGTAATAAACTTAAATGAAAACATAAACATAAATTAATTATGAATAATCAACGGATTTCACAAAAAAAAAAAAAAAAACATTTTCGAGCTGATTTAGAATCTATTTGATATAATTTGTATGATACTATGCATATGTTATGTATTTATGTAACCCGAATATGACTTTAAGTATATTATATTATTATAATAATAATAAGTTCAGTAAACACTATAATATATAATATTAAAACGATATAGATCAATTATCACAAATCACAAATATATAGAGCACACATCCAACACGAATTTCATCGCACATTACACGTAAAAAATAGAAATTTACATATATATATATATATATATTTTTTTTTTCTAAACATATACGAGAAAAAAATGCGAAATGATGAAGATTTCGTAGGGGAGTACAGCCTGAGGACGGGCGTGGATGGTAATGGAATTCACGTGGAATATACATAATATAAATAATATTTACCATAATTTTAATATAGTATTAGAATTATTTTATTTTCGTTGTTATAGGATAAAGGATTCGGGGAGATCTAGAGACCTTATTTTGAACGAATATAGTCTACGACACGCGAGGGCTTCTCGGGGCCGACAACGCGTATAATATAATAATTATAATATAATATTTTTTGTTATTTATTATTATTATTTTTTTTTTTTTTTTTTTTATTCAAATTAATTTTCCACTTTTTCCACTGCATTGTTATCTTCGATTCCGGACGTTTTTACGCTCCGTTTCGTCACCGCGGCCTTGTTCTCACGGTCAGCTTTCAGCTGCTGCTTCTTCACCGGAGTCACGTCTCTCCTCGTCTTCAGGTTGTCGTTCTTTTTCTGATGGATGCTATTTGAATCTATACAAGACGAAAATCAACATTATCAACTCAGAAATCGATTATTTTACGTTTATATGAGGATATCAATATTAATATGTTATTTAAGACAAACTAGACGCATATTTTTCATTTATTAAGGGTGGAAAGAGAAGGTCTGAGATTGTAAAGAATAGCGACAAGTTTGGAGGGTACTAGATCAAACTACTCAGTACCCACTCGGCTCTAGATTATCTGTATATTATTTAAGTCATTTTTGAAATAAACTTAACAAAAATAACATTTTTGCATTATCCATTATAAGTACAATAATATGCTAATATGTATTGATATTATCAATGGACTGCTAGTGATCATGTTATCCAGATAATTTACTATATACATACAATGCGTCTATTTCATACTTAACTAGTTATATATACACCACCAAAATACCAAATGTTAGTGCATACAACTGCGCTTATCGCAACTTTGAATATTTATTAATAATCGATTACCATTTCGGTATAACGGTTTTTACAAGCTTTTAACGTTGAAAAATCATGTTATACAAAATATTCATGCCATTATTTTATATACCTAAACTCGGATAGCCGTCTAAATATTTGCTAAAGCTCTCCTTGGCAGCAGACATCAGTTCCGGATGTTCGGTGAGTGTATCCGAAAGTGACGTTATCAGTAAATCTGAAACGTATGAGAATAACACAATTAATACACAAAGTGTGAACATTACATTTGCTAGCGGTAAAATGCACATCAGTCAATTTATAAAATGTTTTGCTGACATAGTATTTGATTTTATCACAATAGTTACTACCTATTATTATTTTTATTCTGATTTACTTGTTAAGGTTTTTGGTCGAGTACAACGGTGTACTATATATATATATATATATATATGTATATATGTACTATACTAAACAAAATAAAAAGGGAAAAAAAGAAAAAAATGTCCACAATCACTGTGTGTGTCAATAAAAAATATTTGGTATGATTATTTAACAACATATGTATTTTCTAGTAACGAAATATTGTTTGATCATTACTTAAACACACACTGATTTTGTCTTACCCAATATCTTCTTTTCCAGGGCCCTGGAAATCCTTCCTTGGCTGGCTTCGTTTTCCAAAAAGTCGGTAAACTTTTGCAGAGATTCTTGGGCCTCCGACCCACCTGAAACAATGGAGCATCATGATTAGCATACGAATTAATGGGCATTTTTAATCGATAATATTATTACGTGAGATAATAATTAACTAAAATTGTCGTTTTTGTTAATAAGTGGTTTCAAAGTTGATGCTATCACATTATTAAAGGGCGTTAATTGCAATCAAGATTTTGATCTTTCTATATTACAACCGCGAGGATGCCACGTATAACAACCTTCCTTATGAATGGATATTACAATTTACCAAAAATCCATTAGGATAGGAAACAGTATTTCCATCACCAGCATAATCTTATTATATATATAATTATAACGATGTTAAACTTTTGTATTACCCCGCATAATCATGTTTATTGTACATAAATTATATTATTTATACAATGTCATTACTAATAACTTTAAGTTTATGTTGTTTATTACGGAAAAGTCAATATACAATTTAATTCGTCGAATAATCCTATTGTGTTGCAATATTGCTCTGTGTAGTCAAAGGCTTATAAGTTTTGAATGTGTGTAGATACAGTGTTAGGTATTTGACTTTATAAATATATATGTATATATTTTATTTTTCATCCAAACTTTGTTTAATTTTGTAATATATACAATATTAAATATTATGATACCTCAAAAATGATCCATTTTGTATATAATTCTATTGTAAAAACTATTTTAAGTTCTAAATTGTCCAGAAATTAACGATTAATAATATTATAATAATGTGACTTTATCCGTAATAAAATGTACAGTAATAATTCGTTTTTACGATGATAATAGTATTATTTATTACATATATTTAAAACCGTAGTAATTTAACAATATTTAATCAAAACTTACCAATGAAGAGTCCTTGATTGAACATGAGTTTTGCCAGCTGATAAATTATTTCATCCATCATCGTCTGGGCATACGCATAATCTGACGGAGTCATTAGCGTGTCCAAAAGTCGATTATACTGTGAGTCAGACAGCCGCAATTTGGCTTCCAAGATATTTTTAATTCCTAAAGGGAAATTGCACTTTGGTAAGACAACAAATACTAATTCGGATTTATTAATCAAATGAGCAATAATAATTATCAAACGATTTTACGATCAATGTGTTTAGAATTGTAATCTTCATCGTCCAAGTTATTGCTCTTCTTAGTGAACTTGTCCCTGAGTATCTGTTGCATTTCTTTTAGTTCGGTCAGCGATCCATCAATGTCACTGAAATCGGATGGTTCGTAATTCTTTTGAAACTTGATTGAATTATCCTGCGGAATTGTAATATATGTAAACGATTTTTGTTGAAAAAACAGATTTCGTTTTCGTCGAAACTCCGTAGAGCTATATTAATTGGTGTATGTTTGAAAATGTATCATAATTTATATTAACCTATGTAATGCAAGAAAACATGGCACGCATAATAAACATGCATGTGAAGCTCCATGCTCTACCTCGATGGAACCTCGCATGAAGTAATATTTTTCTGTTTTAATGATTTTAATTATATAATATTTATTTATCCCATATCATTCTAATAATTCCCTAATTCACTTTAATTTTAAAAAATAATTATAATGGATGACAACCCTTATATATTCCTATATATATATGTCCTTCTACGACACTCACATCTAGGACGTCGCACCTAATAGAAAAAAAATTCTGTTTTCATAAATTATAAACATATTTCACGTACTTCCGTTATTTTAAATGTTTGAATTAAAATATATGATGTGAATTTAAATACGAAATCACGTGTAAACAACTAATTATAGAAAATTACAAACTTTCATCATAATAATTTACAATTCTAATGCAGCGTTTAATTAATATTGACCAGTAACATTTTGGTACTTCGTTTTATTTTAAAATAGTGTGTTTGAATGAGAATTTTTTTTAACTGCAAATCAATTGGCAACGTTTTAACTATATGCATTTGTACTATAACGGTCATGTAGGTTATACTTATAAGTATACCTAATGTTTACGTCTTTTTACGGATAGGTTAAGCCATACTTTATGGTAGTAGTATGTGGCACTACGATATCGGCTTAGTAGCCGAGAGTGCATTATGTTTATAGGTACAGAAATTTCAAAAAGCTCATGTCGGTAAGACAGAGTACCAGGAATACCATATTGTACTATATAAATTCCAAAATCATAATTACGAAGAATACTAAGGAACGTTTTCGAAAATGATATTTAATAACGATCTCGTGGAAAATTTTATTTTGTTTATTTAGGACGATTATTATTTTATCATTGGTTGAAGTTTTTACTTCAGATAACCTCAGTTTTCTACAAAAAAAACCGCTATAGTTACATTTTAATCTTCAATATTTGTACACACAGTCTTTAAAATTGTCGTCTCTATTTGATGATTTTCAAAACTAAATATTTGTTTATAACTGTATAATATGTGCGTTAATATCGAATATCTGTAAAGATTATTGTTTTTATTATTATCAGTAGGAGAGTAAACCACTTTATGTCACAATTAAATATAAAATAACATAAGTACCTCATGAACCGATCAAAACAAATAAAAATAGATTCTATGAGAATATGAACCCTTTTTAGTTTTGTTAACACCTTCAGAGCAATCAAATATCGACGGAAATTCAACACAAACCATATGCGAGTTTATTGAATGGAAGACGTTAGAAGGGACTTATTCACACTGCTACCAGGGCTTGAACGCAAAGAAAGTTTTATCACAAGACAAAATATTAGATGGTATATATGTTCAATTGTACAAGTAGATGTGGTGTGCGCAGAACGAAATGCAATATAACGATAACGATGATTAATGATGATAATATTATCAATAACAATAATATTACACAACCGTAAACCCTTTATACTCGTAATACACACATGTATTCATACACCCAGTATAATAGAAACATTGTATGATATTGTTCATAATAAATTGTACTCACTATATCTTTGTTCATTACGCCCGGAGCAGGGTCGGAGTAGCGAGCGTCCAGCCGATACAGCTCTCTGTCGATCATGCTCAAGTAGGCCAATGCCGATTCTCGATCCAACTAAAAACACAAACAAATGGGCACAGAGGCTAATATTAATTATTATTCCTATAGTAAATAAAGTTTTATTGTTTTAATACGATTTCGTTGATTGTATTTATCTTGTTTTTACAATTGTACCAGTGGAAAATATTATGTAAATTACACACGCAAAACGATCGATGATTTGATGAATTCGACACGTAGGTAAAAAACTAACGAAAGGAACGAGAAATGAACTTCACAGTTCGGCAAGCTTTCGTGGTCAATATTTGTCGTGGAAAATTTCGTGACGCTCAAAATGGTTTCACGAAACGTTTATCCGATTTGATAAATCGTTTTCGAACTTTTCGTTGTAGCTCAATATATACATACAAACTAAACATGGTTATTGTAACTTTGATTGAGTAAAATATATAGCATGGAGAAGTATCGGGTTAACCTTTTCCCCATTGTCGTCGGTTCAAAAAAAAAAAAAGTATAATATATAGTTGATTTTAAATGAAACATAACCTGTAATATATATAGTGTGTTTTGAAAACTAAATTAAGTGGAAAGGAGAAAATCGATTTAATTTGACGCGTGGATTTTGATCATTAATTCGCTAACGTTCGAAAAAGGTTTTATGGTAATCACGCCATACCGATTTAAAAACACGATATCAAAATAGCTGAAAAAATTGTTAACTCCTGTTATCTGGGATGAAGGCCATCGTGGGTGATGTTGAGTAGTTTTATCTAACGTATATACCTCAGCAAGAAACTCGGTGTACCGGATTTTAAGTCTTGAATAAAATACAATTGCTGCAATATTAAACCGTAGAACACGAGAAGTATTTTGAAATAATATCAGAGTTATAAATATAGTCGAGACTGTAGTGAAGAGTAAACACCGTATGCTTTTTGATCATTTCGATAAAACACAATATATCTTTTGACTTAGTTTGTACATATTTTTTTTCGTTAAAAATTAAAAAAAAAATGTTATGTACTCGTATAATATTCTTATATTTTTTAGTTAAATTAAGAAAACTAGGAATAATAATAAAACAAATTGTTACATGTAAAATTAAATTATATTATTAATTTATTTATTATATATTTATCTCGTAATCTGTATCATAAGAAGGTATATTACTGATTAGTTAATGAAAAACGATCACTATTTTCTGAATAATCCATGTATACTTGTCTAATGATATTAGAGGAGTATAAGGCCGCATTTAATTAGTTAATAAAGATCCCATGTCACGCAACATTACCTATGTACATAATCATAGTGAATACCACCTTTTATCAACAGATAATTTAATAAAAAACACTTTTGGAAAACTTTTCAATAAAATACATATATTACTTAACAACAACTATAACATAACATAAATAAAATAATTGTTTTAATGTAAAAATGATAGTAAATAAATTTATTAATAAATAATAAATAACATTGATACAAATTTGTGATTTTTCTCTATTTTAATTTACTCACAATATTTTTATGTGTTACTATATTTACCCTATACCAAAACATTTTATAGTATACCTTTGTTTTTTTTTCGATAAAAACACTGGATATATGCTCTTTCAATGTAAAACTAATAGAAAATCGATGATGGATAACTCGGTGTCTTAGAAGTTTCCAAACAAATAATGTCGTAAAAAGGAAGATTAGACGAAAGTAATAGTACATTCGATTAATACGTAAAGACATTTTAAAGATTACCCGGCTGATAATTTTTTATTCGCATCCATAATAAGGAAACATATTGGGTTTTATCCTAAGTTTTCAAACAATATTTATTTTTATTTTTTTTTATTTATTTATTTTTTTTTTTTTTTTGCAAACAGCAATGAAACATTTCAAAATCATTACAAAAGTTAGTAGTACACCACGTAGTATATTTTATTAATACAGGAATTTTTAATTCCTTCCGGCCCTCACATTAACTTTTATCGTTTGTAATCTTACAACTGTAACGTGTACTTGTTTTATCTGTTGACCTGAATTTTGTTTAAACTTTTTTTTTAAGTTTTTTTTAACACTTTTCTAAAATTATTTAATTGTTATTTAGTCAAACAACGTAATATTTTTTTTTTTTTTTTTAGTTGATGATCATTGTTAGTTTTTGAGAAAAAGTAATAAAACCTTACGTTTTTGATAAATTAACCAACATTTATTTTCCACTTATATATTTTACCTTAACTATAAAACGAAACACAGGTTTAGGATAAACATATTTCTTTTTTTTCATAAATGATGGTGACCCACAGTTTAATGTAAGTTTTGAATTGTAAAAATTAAGGGTTAGATAATCCCAGAAGGTTCTGTTTGTGGCCAACATTTTTTTCTCAAACGATTTCATTAATTCCTCCGGAAATTAAATTACATTTCCTCGTTATTTATTTGTGTGATTTCGACAAACCCATTTTCTATATTAATTTAATTTAAGTATATAGACATTGCAATAATAATAATTTGATTTTTTGCTCAAACAAAATGTTGGGCTTTCTTATAAAATTAATTTACTTTAGCAAAACGTATATTATATTGAATTCAGCGTTAATTCTCTCTATTTGTGTTTTTTTTTTTTAGTGTTGATATAATAAGTGTGAGTATGTAAACCACGAATGAACAAAAATACCATTTTGGCGCAAACGCTAGGATGTACAATATTCTTTAATAAACAATTTGGAATAGAAAATTTAACTTCAAGATTTTGTTATGATTATCCTGATATGTACACGTATCAAAGTATATTACTTTTCGCAGCTACAAAATCACGGTGTATATTTTTTTGTATAAATTAAAATATTAATCTTGACGATCTTTTGTCCCGAAAACGAGAAGATATTGTTGGCTTTTCAGTGAGTAAAATTCGGGCCTACGCTTTCTTTAAATAGTGACCGCCGTCCGATCAATTATTACGTGCAACAAACTAAATGTATAACATTCAAAAGTAGCTTTGTTTATTCAAAATGCATGGTTTGTCATTAACGTAATACAATACTGAAAGTACGCGGTACGCAAAGGTGGATCTAAAGCTTGCTTTAAGGGAGGGTAGAGAATAAGAATATTTATAAGTGCTATATAAAGTATAATGAAGACTGGACTGTAATTTGATCAACTTAATAAAAAATAATGAAAACAATGCTTATAATTATCTATAGGTACCAACAATTAACATATAAGACGAGTCGTATCGTAATATACACAAATATTTCAGAATACCGGTCACCAAACAGTAGGAACTAAAACTAAAATGCATTATTTATTATCATGAAAAATGTAACTTATGCAAATATATACATAGAATTCAATAGTAAATATTTATGAATCTTTATTATATATATCGGTATGACTATATTAAAATTATTATATAAATCTGGGATAAAAAAAAAAAAGAATAAGGGAAGGTTGATCGTCACTTACCCCTCCCCATAAATTCGCTCCTGGGGTAGGTACGTCGAAATATTTATATTCCTATACAATTCGGCCATTCGCAAACAAACTCTTTGACCCTTATTTCTTTATATATATACACATACAAAATAATGTGTATATTAATGAAAAATGGTATACAATACAGTAACATAAATAGTAAGTGCATGCTAATGGATATTGGAAATATATATTTCTATGACACTTTTGTGTAAATGTATGCAATATAAGTGTAGAAACTAGACTCATAATGGTATGATAACTAATGTGAAAAACGAACATAATAAAATATTTGTAATAAATAATTATTGTAAATAATATTCAATAATATTTTAAAGTTAGTATTCATATAATGTACATGACAATAACTATACGCATGACAAACACTTTTACTCCAAAAGGTTGGGGAGTACAAGAGTTGCCCGTTAAAGTTCAAATTAAAATTGATTTCAGACTAAGAACGCACTAAGTTAGTTTTTGTTTGGAAATTTGTTTAGTTTTAATTGAGATATAATCTTATTGAATTCGTTTTATGATTACGTTTTGCCAAATTAATATTTTAAATGTTGAAAAGCGCGTGACAAAGTTATTATTTTGATAAATTATCGTTTTTCCGGGTAATTTATCGTGAAAATACGTCACAAACACTGATATAGATGTGTGCAAACTCAGCAGAAAATTATGTGAAAAAATGAAAAACAAATGATATCCTTACACAAATCCTATAAGATAACTAACTAATATATTATAGCTGTAGGATGTCAATGATTATAAAAAAGGCCATTAAAATATAGAGATACGATTGATCTGCTCATAGAAGAATTTTGACTACTCTCTGCGAGCACCCTCGTACAAATACATACATATATATATATAAAATATATAAACACAGAGAAGGGAAAAGGGTACGATACGTTAAGAAGGAAGAAAGAGGGGTAGAGAGACTAATTGTGCATGATAAATTGCTTAGCATAACCCATTCGATATTTACATCTATTAAGGCACACCGTTCGACCATGCAGAAACAATATGACCGTCGCTATTATATGTAGCAATGTAGCATATACCAGAACAATATTAAACCATTTAATATCCGTACTTGTACATAATTAAATACTCGCGGGAATCCTTCGAGCATTATACATACATACATTATATAATATTCAATAAGACCGTTTGGAAATAACGTCATCGATGAACACTATTAATATACAAATACTATTCGATAAACGATCTGATGAAATTATTCTGGCGGTGCACCTAACGGAGACGTGCAAGGAATACCGCATTAGCATTCATTTTTTTTGTCCATTTAAGATCGAAATTATATTAAAAAATTCTATTGTAAATTATCTGTCGATATTTTTTTTCTTAACTTTCATTCAATTTACTCAAACTGATTTTTTATAAAGAAATAAAATAAGGCACTAGCACCCAAACGTATATTTATCTTCTAAAACTACCAAGATTATTTTATACATGAACGTCATAACCAATTTCTACGTTAGAAACGTAAATTAACCTTTTCAATGCTATAAATGCATAATGCGTCGACTGTAAGCGAATCTGAAGTCCTATAGATA